CTGTCCACCAACACCCCCAGATCCTTTTCTGCTGTGCAGCTCTCCAGCCGCTCTGCCCCAAGCCTGTAGCTCTGCGTGGGGTTGTTGTGACCCAAGTGCAGGACCTTGTTGAACTTGGCCTTGTTGAACCTCATACATTTGGTCTCAACCCATCGATCCAGCCTGTTCAGATCCTTCTGCAGAGCCTTCCTACCCTCAAGCAGATCAACTCTTCCTCCCAGCTTGGTGTCGTCTGCAAATTTGCCGAGGGTTCACTCAATCCCCTCATCCAGATCATCAATAAAGATATTAAAGAGACCGTCCTCAACACTCACCCCTGGGGAACACTGTTCGTAACAGTTAACCTCCTGGCTTGAGGCCCAGATGGATAGGTATCTTGTATCTTGTATCTTGTTGTATCTTGTATCTTGTATCTTGTTGGTAGGGAGACTAGGAAAGAAGTAGGGTTGTAGATAGATGTAAATGGTCACACTTTTGCCACTTTATCTGTATTTATTAACCAGCATCTCTGAACAACACGCAGGAAAAACAGTGGCCATGGCAGAGAAAATGACTGGTTGAAGGTCATGAGCTCCTGAAACAGTATTGAAATGCTTGCCGATGACTAAGGTCATAAACGAATTGCAGTTCACACCATCCTTGCAAGCTGCTAGATGTCATCTTTGGTGACTGTCTTTCTGGACTCTCCACTCTGAACAAACACTGAGAAAGTGTGACCTGATTCAACCACCCTCCACTGTGGGCTGTGTTATTTTGTACTTGCAACAGGCTAAGAGCATTACTGGAAGTTCCCCTGCTTGGCACTTCCCTCTGTTGGCTGATTCATGTTACTTGGCAAGCTGTTGGAACCTGCCTGAACACTGAATCTTCTAGATTTTAGCTGCATTCGCTGCCTGAATTCAAATGTCAGAGACAGATGTAAACAAGGGACTGGAGTCAATGCTGAACAGAAGACAATGAGCCTGTCTCCTTTGCATGTTCAAGGAAGAGCATTGATCCTACCTAATCAGGCTGGCAGCATTCAGCTTTGCTGCGTTTTTCTGAGGGCATCTTTGAATGGGTGAAAGTCTGTGATAAAAATAGTTTTACTATGGGAATCACAGAATGGCCCATCACTGTTCTTGGTGAAAGTCCCTTGCTGGTGTGCATGTAAATCAAAGGAACACTACTTCTTGTTTCCACCATGATCAAGGCTCCTCAGTTGGGTGGACCTGCTCTCAGGAGTGGATGGATGGACTTCTGGAGAGGACTGTCAAGCTTAGAATTAGTAGTCTGTATATTCATTTGTAGGTATCTATATGGTGACTTATATGAGTGTTGGAAGATGCTGGGTTGACTTCATTATTAGCAATAACATTATAAGCAACTAACAATTGCTGCATTGTAGATCTTCCAGGAGATCAAATTTACTGATCAAACCCAAATCACCTTTTGACTCTTTGGTGCCTCATCTCTTGCAGATCTCACTGGTGAGAGAAGATTGAGACCCCTTTCCTTAGCAGATACAGTGATCATCTGGAGATCATTCTGCAGGGCCCAGGACAGATATGCCCTCAGTTAGATTACAGCTAGTGATGCTGTGTCCTATCCTTTCTATGGTCTTCTTTGCTCTCTTCCTCTCACACATGGGAGTTACAGAGGTATGACTCGATGCAGTGGCAGATCTGGGAGGGGGCAGCCTGAGGCAAGACCATGGCTAAAACTTCTCTCCTGTGTCATCGCTAACATGCGTTGCCTTACTCAACATTTGTGAGCTGCCAGGTTCTTGCTGCAGGATTTTGCAACACCAGAGAAAAGGAGAAGCTTAAATGTTCCTCCCTGTGATCAGCTCAGTGCTGGTGCATGAGAGTTGGGCCGTGTGCTTGGGGCTATTTCTGGCCTTGCCAGAGATGGGAGTGGGTGTCTGTGTGCGTAGGACAAGGATGAGGAAACAAGTCCTTACCTGGAAAAAAATACCAGTGATTCATAACACCAAGCCCAGCCCTGCTGGGGAGACCATCCCTTTTTCCCTACCAGTTGTGAGACACAGCCTCCACCTCCACCTCTACCATGTTGTGCATCATGCCACCACCTCCACCTCTTTCTTCAGACATCCCAGGGTGAGCTGGCTGTAAGTGAGGTAAGGCTATAAACACCAAGGAAGATATCTTCTCCTTACACTTATCTCTTGGGCCACCCCCGTGGGCAGGTGATGCAGGGCTGTCGCAGCTCACCTTGCAAATGGGCACCCCAACTTCCTAATCCTGGCAGCAATAGTCTGCAGGGGGCACTGTGTGGCCGATCTCTCATCATTGTCCTCCCTCTTAAATTTGACAAGGAAGAGAGGAAAAAAATACATAAATAAAATCTACGTGTGTCAATACTATATCAATAAAAAAGCCTTTTCCTTGAAAGGACTTTTCTGAAAAGAGTGTGTGTGCCTGCAAATGAAATAGGTTGCAAATACCAGCAGCAGAAACCTCACTGACGTGATACACTGTCTTCTTACTGCTGTAAAACAGATGATAAGGCATCCCCAGACTACGTTACC